AAAAGCCTTAGTCCAGCGAGGGTTAGGAAGGCACAGTCCTATGGCTTCCTCGCTTTGAGTACAGAGCCAGATCATACTCTCAACATGAAGCAGGTGAGTGTATTAGCAAGCAAATACCTTTTTGATATTCAGGGCCCATGCTGATATTCCTAAAAATAATGAAGATACTGGGATGTATATCAGTATTGATGTTTTGATGCATTGTAACCAAACCATCTCTGTATGTACGTATACTCGTACTTAACCGCCGTTGGCCTGAAATGAGGTTCCTTTTGCATTTTAAGAAGCTGAACAGAATAATAAGAATACAGGTTTATGCACCATATCTTGGACATAACCTGATAATGAATTTTACATATTTTCATGCCCTTAGTTCTCGATGGTTGTGGCCCTGGTGGTGGCCCTGGCATGCCTGGTGAGCTGGACCAGCGCCATGCCTGAGCCTGACCCCGTAGCTGACCCTGACCCCGTGGCTGACCCTGACCCCGGCTACCGTCGCTTCGGTGGATTAGGATATGGTGGATACGGCTTGGGTGGACTTGGATACGGATACGGAGGTCGTGGATACGGATACGGGGGCTTCGGATACGGAGGATATGGTGGCGGATTCTACGGATGAAGACGCCGGATACGAAATGCATGACAATTTCAGACTATTGCAATATTTTTTTTTCTGTTTCCTTTTCTTTTTCTTCTGAAATAAAATTCATGGATGAAGGTGTCTTCTTTCTCTCATCTCAATCTGATTACTAATTTGATACTAGTGTATGTGTTTCTAGATCCATATATAGACATACATAAATGAGAAAGACGAACAACACAAGAGGTGTGGTATACCCTTTCTTTTTCTGCGCACATAGGTGTATAGCTAGATAGAAATATATATGTATGTATATATGTATGCATATATATATATACTTATATATGTATGCACACACTCACACACACACACACACACACACACACACACACACACACACACACACACATATATATATATATATATATATATATATATATATATATATATATATATATATATATATATATAATATATATATATATATATATATATATATATATATATATATATATATATATATATATATATATATATATATATATATATAAATAGGAAAATATAGATATACATCCAAATCCAATACATATGCATATGTGTTTATAGATGTATACATGTGTGTGTCCGTGTGTGTGTGTGTGTGTGTGTGTGTGTGTGTGTTAATAGAAATGGATAGATGGAGCTGCAAATACTTCTATGACGCCAAACTGTGACCTGGAAAACCGAATCCACTCTCCTTACTGAATCTTTCCTCTTTAGTGAAGTTCTTTTATCTGCGCGAAAGGTTTTGTGTGAAAATGTTAAAAAATCCAAGAACAAACATCCAAGAAATTATCAAGATCTTTTAATGATGTAGTTTAGATTATTACCTTGTTAACTTTTGTAATCAGACTAACCGATGAGAAATGTAGTCAGAAGTTAACAAGTAGTAATGGAGGAAATATTACTATTATTGTTTGTTTGCAACATATCCATAGAATTGCCTTTGAGAGTGTTGCAGGAGGAATCGGGAGAGACGACAGATAAGGGAGAGACACTAAATAAAAAATCTAGAATGAGCAAAAAAGGTGAAAAGAGTTGTAAGAAGAAATGAATACGGGAATATGAAAGTTACAAAGAGAAGAAGATAAGTTGAAAAAAAATGTAAAAAGCAATAAATACGGAGAAAACGGAAATAACAAAGCTAGAAAGAGAACAAGGTAAAAAGGAGTTGTATGAAGAAATATTTCAAATAAATTTTCATTCTTCTAAAAGATAAATTTCGGAGCATAATATTTCGTGTTGCATGTTCTCCATCAGACTTCTCATATACAAAAACCAATAAGAAATATCGAACAAGTATTCACACACAAAAAATCCATATTTATTCATAAGCGGGGTGGGTGTGTCTTCAAAGATCATATGGCCATCTGGATCCCTCATAAATTGCATTGATGAGGATTCTTGTGATTAATGCATGCATGTTTGTGAGTGTTTGTGTTTCTCTGTGATATATATATATATATATATATATATATATGTGTGTGTGTGTGTGTGTGTGTGTGTGTGTGTGTGTGTGTTGTGTGTGTTGTGCGTGGTGTGTGTGTGTCGTGTGCGTATGTTGTATGTATATGTATATTAATATATGTATTATAGTGTGTGTTATATTGTTATATATATATATTAGATTTATAGTATTGAATTAGTGTGTATGTATATATATGTATGTAT